AAACAAAGCTTTCTGCAGTCGTGAGTCGTGCAGCAGCTGTAGGTAGTCGTGAGTCGCTGCTGCATCTTGCATCTCGATCGCATCTCGAAGCTCGCTCCTATGGGATTCATTTCTGCAGGTCAGAGCTGAGTGGGCGTGATGGGTGCTGAGGGGCCATCCAGTCATGCAGCTAGCCCACCTTTCGAGACGTGCTGCGCTCAGTGGACTCACGCATCAAGGCCTAAAGATGCCGAGGTTGTCTAGCGGTGATAGACTTCACTCCGCATTCGCCACTCCAAGATTTGGCTTTGGCTGAGCATTCCTCTGCGTGAGTGGCATCGCCATCCCAGCGAATTGGCTGCAACACATCTTGTTTGAGCAGAGCTGTGCATCGAGAGAAAAGTCGAGCGTGTGATGTGCTGCCCTGCTGGTCTGCTGGCTTTGATGCGTTTTGCAGGCATAAGGCCAGCACACGCAGGCAAACCGCTTGGCACTGTTCCGCCGCATCGCATGGGAAGGAAGAGCTGAAAGAGGATTCAGCTTCACAGCGATGTTTGAAAGATGCCGACTGCGACGAGCTTCCTGTCTGTACTCGATGTGCAGGCACAGGCCCACGCGGACTTAGTGCCTGTTAGTCAGTCACACTAGCTGATGAAGAGGGCTCAGCAGCAGAAGCGCTGCGACACCCCACCGCTTTCATCGAACTGTGGCTGAAGACCGAGGTAGATGCCCGAGAGTCCTCCGTGCTTCTAATGGCGACAGCGGGCGAAATTTCATTCACTGATTGCGGCCTGTGCTCGTCCACTCTCGCGCTTCACATCAAGGGGACCTCCGAACTTTCAAACACGCTGGCTGCTGCTACTGCACAACGGTCGTCGGTCAATGTGGTGAACAACAGCGAAATCGGACACTCAGAACACACCCCGCAACTCATCAGCAGCGACGTGAACATCAAAGCGGTTTGAAAGCCATAGTTCCAGCGTGTGGCAAGTGGTGTGGAGCACACAGCCAAACAAGGCATTCGCATTTATACATTGGTCGTTCATTCCCTCAAAGCCGCCTTCCGTCTTCCACGACACACTTTGTCGAGGATTTTGATACATAGCCTCGCACGACCTTGATAACATTGCACTCGACGCGCCAGACTTGTCAACGATGTCGACTCAGACGATGGGTGGGGCACCGGCACCAGCCAGGGCGGCGGGACCCAACCTCAACAAGAACCCGCGAATGGTGTCGACATGGCACCTCAAACCAGCAGAAGAGCTATCTTGGGAGCAGAGATTGATTCTCAAGTTGAACGTGTTGCAACAGGCCAAGGATACCCCAAAACCTCCGGTCTTTAGCAAGGAGAAGGGCGACAAGGTGCCGTACCTTCCTGTCTACACGGAGCAGTGGAAGTGGATCATGCCGAGGGCGCTCTTGCCTTTGGCAATCCACGGCGCGTTCCAAAAGTTGACGGGCTGGAACTTCCATCCAGCTTTCGCCTTTGTCTACTACTTCTTGGCCTTCAAATTCACCGCACTCGCAGCCGTCCGATCCTTCAACCGCATGGGTCAGCGATACGGTTACTTTGATGGTGCTGTGCCGCGCGATGGCATTCCAGACAATATGAGCGGCAAGGTGCTGTGGAGCATGCTTGGCACCGTCAGCATTCGACCACTCTTTGCCATCTTTTTGATCTACAATCGCCAAGAAAGTGCATGGAACATCGATCCGTTGATGCTGCCGGTGCAACTCTTCCTGTACAGCGCCATCCTCGACTTTTGGTTCTACTGTTACCACCGAGCCATGCATACCGTCCCTTGGCTCTGGCATCACCACGCTCTCCACCACAAGACTCGTCATCCAAATCCTCTTTTATCCGCTTTCGCAGACAATGAGCAAGAGTGGGGAGACATTCTCGTCATCCCCCTGTTGACATGGCTCGTCTTTCCTGTCAACTTCCCCACCTGGTGGGTCTGCCAGGTCTTCATCATCTACACAGAGGCAATGGGTCACTCTGGCGTCCGTCTGTACTGGCAGACACCTATGACCGGTGAGTGGCGTCGCTTGATGGTTGTCAAGATTGATTCCAGAGGCTGACGATCATCAATCTATGCCGCGTTCCGCAGGTCCCATCTTAAGGCTCTTCAATATGGATCTCGCCCTCGAGGATCATGACTTGCACCATCGCAGGGGATGGAAGGTAAGCTCCAACTACGGCAAACAGACTCGTATTTGGGACACCTTGGGCGGCACCACCCGTGACCGCATCGAGGGTACCGAAGACAACATCGATTGGGTGAACACCGCCAAAGTACTCTAAACCCATTTGTAGCTAACGACTCATCGACATTAGACTCCTGTTCGCCACGCACATGCTCGATTTGTTGCGAGCCTTCTGCGCTCGGTGCCACTCCACCACTCGTCGACTGAAATTGACGTAGCATTGGCAGAGCATAGCTGAATCACTCAACACTGTTGGCACATCACCGTCACATCCTTTATTGTAGTCATGATCCATCTCTATCACTTTCTCTGCGTTATGTCCAACAAACCACAACACCTGCGCTTGTCACTTACGTGCTAATGCTCCCATTCCAATTGTCTTGTCTCTCTGCAAGTATACATGCTCGAGAATGAAGATCTATCGCGCCATCACATTGCTAGCCACTGAAAATTGCCTACAAAGATTGTCCAGGTCATCAAATGCCTGTGTAGTCGCGACGCCGTCGGTCTCCTGGAACAGAGACAGCAGAGGTGGCCAGCGAAGGCACGAGCTGATCACCTTGGGAACGTTCTGGCAAGCTCGATCTTGATGCATACTGCGGTCCTACTGCAGGGCGAGGCCTGGCCTCTAAGGATGCACTGACGTTCAAAGAGGTCTGGCACACCATTTGCGATCGTCGGTCCATCCAGGTCCCAGGTTTTGTCTCGGTTGATCACTGGTAAATAAGCCCTGGCAACCGACCGCCACGTGTGCACATGCTGATTTTCACTGTGCTCCACTTCGGCCTCGACCGGATTGGTGTTGTCAATGCGATGTTCATCTTGCCACACCATGTCGGCCGTGTGTGACCTGGCTAGATCTAGCCCGACAAGGTAGACGTTGTCGAACCGGCCAAAGACTTGTTCTGCCTGACGTTCAGGTGCATCGCTTCATGTCTGGCACCGACACCGACAACGTCACCATCGTTCATGCACACGGCCTTTCATCTGAAGGAACTGCCCACCGGCGCAAAGTAAGCCTTGACAGTAAGAGGTACGTTAGTTCGGCTAAGGCACAGCCAGAGCACTAGTGAACTGGTGACATGAACCAAGCTGGCGCGAACCAACTGGTCGAAATTGCGCCAAGGTTGGATACTCGCACCTTTCCCCTTCATCACGCGACTCGATCAGTCGGAGCACCATCACTGACAGCACTCATCTGAACGCTGATCATCATCACCGGATCAAATGCGGATCCACCCTCCTTCCTCCCGATCGATGACATTTGGGTGCGGGTCATAATGAATTCGGGTTCGCTCACTTGTTCCATGCTTGCGCACTGCACACGGTGTGGGGTGGGAACATGTGAATATCTGTTCGCCTCGCAAGTGGCCGCTCTACAGACCGTCGCATAGCCTATCACAGACAACGAAGCTGTGTACAACGCTCAGGACTATGACCGTCGCGCCGTGTGGTGCAATTGATCACCAGACCTGCACGCGGTCGTGTCCTGGTGGTCCAAGGGGCCGGCTCTTGAGAGCATAAAGGAGCGCCAGCGCCATCCGCTAGCAGCCCTCGGCGGCGGACGATGACAGATGACCGCTGCGACATACGCCTTGCCACCCAGCGCTGTGTTCGGACCTTCTCACACTCAAACTGCCAGACATCAAAGCGCACTGATCGAGCCGCACGCATCAGATGGTCGGATGATGACCGTCCACCCCAAGCAAAGCCGCGCCGAGCCATGCGGATCCGCCAGAAGTTTACACACGCTAACGCTGCCGCCACTCAAGACTGCGTAGCCCGGAGCGGGTCTCAAGCGCGGAAGGGTGGCGCTTCGCATTGCGGGTCAAAGGTTCTGAGACATGGGAATGGAGGGAATGTATCGAGGCCACCACTACACACAGACAGCCAGAGTGCATGCTGCGGCCTCTCAACGAATTTGGAAACGCCGCGGTCGAGTAGTAAATTTATAGCCAGCCAGCTGCATGGGCTTCAGTGATTTCCAAGCGGGACCTCCACCAACTCAGCTCGTATCCAAATCACGAATGCGAGCATCCAAAGCTCCACGTTTGCTCGCCGAAAGCGGCCTGAACTCACTGAGACTACTAGCGTGCACGCAGCTGCACAGCAGCAGGGTGCAGAAGACATCATGCATGTCCAGTGGTTACGGTACCCTAGCGCATACTCAGGCTGTCGCCAAACTCGTGGGTGGTAGAGTAGAGGCCAGTCACGAGTCGTGAGTGCCAAGGAAGGTCAATGGGCTTGGTGTATGTGCAGCGACATCTCTGGAATTGCAAAACGGCCGGAGAGTGACACTCACGATTGTTCCTGGGCACGGCACGAAATGTGAATTCGAAGCGCTGTTTGTTACACTTGATCCAGCGCATGATGAGCTCTGTCAAATACACACGGATTTGCGCAATGTGATGGTACGATTGTCCGCTGTGCGCACCAGTCTTGCCCTCGATTTGTACCCTTCAAACAGCTCAGTGCTGACAGTGTGCTGTTGTCGGGTGTGTGCCGCTGCAACAATCACAAATCTACGCTAATCACCTCATCATGCGGGTCTTTGGAAATATCCAAGACTTGCTTCCGCAGAAACATGGAACGACATCTCTTCCCAAAGTGCGCGCCAATGCGGGCAAGTTTGGCACGGTTCTGCTCAGTTTGAGCGACTCGCATTGCGGCACATGGAAAGATCGTCTGGATGGTGAAACAAACAAGCAGCGCAGATGAGATCTTCAGCACTTCGTCAACTCAACAACGAAGGCCGGGACGCGCAGTCGCCCGCCGAGAGTCGTGATGCATCCGTTGTGTTAGCGAGACCAAGCTCCCGCTGGAAAGCGTGTAGGCTGCAATAGCGTCCTGCTTGCAGAGCTTGCCCCACCTTTGACAATCTACGCAATCTCCAACGGCAGGGTGTCTGATGCCCCGGCAATTCGTTCTTTTGGCCGACGCCGATTGTTTCCAATAATGGCGTCGGTATCCGAAACAAACTGCTGCGAATTGTTGCTGTTGCTGAAATCCTTCAATCCCAGTCGTCCTTCGAGCCAAGTATAAGTAGTATCCCTAAAGTCTAGACGCTGTGGGGCCTTCGAGTCTCACAACACCCATGTACTTACTGCTCCAGTCCGTCATCGTTGCTACGCTCAGCCTCGTTCACAAATCGCTACTTCGAGGTGAAAATTCCAAAATATTATGGATCCTTCCATTGCTGCGGCGGCCGCTGCCGGTGACCTGTCCGCCCAAGTCGCGCTGTATCAATTCCGGATAGCCTTTGCCAATGCCGTCATCAAATCAGCGGTCCCTTACATCGCAGCGTTCGGCTTCTTCGTTGGGGATTGGAGCTACTCTATCTTTGCCGAGATCGAAATGTTGCTAGCGCCCTTCCGGGCGATCACTTTTGCCTACTTTGCCGTCAGGATCAGCACCCTGTCCGCATTCGTGCTCTATCTGCTGCAACTCTTCGCTGGTGATCACCCAGCTATCAATTGCGCCGCAGTCTTCAAGTCAATAGCTGCGCTGGCCATGATTTCTGCGGCCGGATCCTACTCCATCCTCGCTCTTCGTGCACAAGCTCTTTTGATGGGCAGGAAAGGCTTGACCATGACAGTCTGGACAGCTTGCATTCTGACCTCATTGTGAGCATTCCTCTTCAAAATTGCATCCTTGGAAAGGTCCGCAGACTTATCGTCCTCGCAGCTCCCACATCATCTTCTTGGCAACCTATACGTCCCAACAGCCAGACGTCGGCGGGTGAGTCCTTCGTCGTCAGCTGTGTAATCAATGATCTTGCAGCCCCTAACATGCTTTTGTACGTCCATCAGCGTCACTGCATGCCCCGTCACACCCACCTACGAGAGACTTTCCTCTTTAGTCTACTTTATGGCCTTCTTTTACGATCTCGGCATGAGTTGCCTCATGCTGTGGCTTTTGCACGGCGACGGAGGAAGCATCGGCGGATCTCACAGACCCGTTCGCGAGTAAGTGCTGATGGGCGGTGTATGAGGATGATGAAGCTCGTCACTGAGACACAAGCCCTGCGCTCAGTTCCTTGCTCCAAAGCACCGCCAGCTATTTCGCCGTGATGGTGCTGACATCACTAAGCTGCGCGATGCTGCTAGCGATCCCGCCCGACGGCTATCCCTCGTTCGTCAGGTGCGTGCGGTACCGTGCTGCTCTTCCTCGCCCAGGAACAGATGCTGACCTCCCGCACCCGGCGCGCTTGCTTGCAGAGACCAATTGATCCCCATTCACACCGTCCTCACTTCAACAATGGCCTGTCGTATCGTACGATCCTTGCGAGCCGCATCAGCACACGACAAAGTGCTGCGAGGCACAGCAACACTGTCGTCGAACGAGACTCTGCCTCATCGCAGCTATCCGCTGGCTCTGCAGACCTCGCGCGATCGCAGCAAAACGCCAGACGAGGAAGCGCGGACCAGTCCCTACAACAGGACACCAGGCATGGACGATGCGCAGTGCGACACGCCACCATCTCGTCCCATCTTGCCGGTCCCTTCCACGAACCCGGCCAGGAACGTCATGTCGGCTTTTGCGCGAGAGAACCGACAGACGGCGACCAATGGCACAAACGCATCGGCCATGGAAGTCCTGAGGACTTTTGGCACCGTCGAAGAAGAGGAGATGCGCAATCGCGTCGACAGGACATGGGACAATCCCGAAGCTGGCCTGCGCATCTCTCGCTCCTCCTACATCAGCCAATCTGGATCTCCTCTGGCGCAGGACGACGGTAACCATACAGAAGAGATGCGTTGATGGACATCCCACCAGCAGATTGATCTCTCTGCTCAACGACCGTCGACGTGCGGGCACGCGTCCTCCAGATTCCTTAGTCTTTACATTTAACGAGGCTACGTCGTTTGACCTGTCTGCTGTATATGTACTCATTACCTGTATGCTGATCGTAAGCATGTTGTCGACCGAGTGTGTTGCTGGTGCTTGATAGGGGAAATGATCAGAACAGACACGAATCACGTGAAAGTAGCACATGCATTCATTGATCCTGCCGACAATTGCCGATGACTAGGTTTGCGTTCCGTAAATGTGGGTGGAATTTTCCGCTCTATTTGGAGCCATGCGAATGCAGTCGTCGGTAAACCCGGTGCGTCAACGCGCAACTTCAGTCTTCCCTGCTTCGCCTCGCTTCCGCCGCCTCTTCAGCGACCTGTCGCAGCTGTCGATAATCGCCGCTCTTTTCGCAGAGACTCTTGAAAAGACCGTCCGTCTTGGACAGTAGCGCCGCGGGCGTGTCGTACTCCGCAACACGACCGGCGTCCATCACCAAAATGCGGTCGTAGCCGACGACGGTAGAAAGCCTGTGGGCGATGGTCAGCACGGTAGAGTGCTTGAACCCATCTTGAATGGCGCTTTGAATAGCTTCATCTGTGGTGAAATCGACCGAGGAAGAGGCTTCATCCATGATGATCACCTTGCCCGCGCGTAGCAGTGCCCTTGCCATGGCAATGAGCTGGCGCTGGCCTTGACTCAGATTTGTGCCGCCATCGGCAATTGGAGAATCAAGGGTGACGAAGCTCCTCTCATCTTCGTCCTCCTCGTCTACACCCGGCGTGCCGCTGTCGTCCTCTGCACTCGCAAACGAGCCGTCCAGAGCACTGGGTCTGCGCCCGAGCGTGTTGTATCGGCTCGTCATCCTGCTGGCGGGTTGGGAGACCGGTGGGGTGGTGCGGAGATGAACGCGGTGGAGAGCCTCGATGCAGGCTTCGTCAGAGTGCTCGTTGAATGGATCTAGATTCGAGCGCACAGTCCCGGTAAAGAGCGTGGGATCTTGTGGGATGATTGTTAGCCTCGATCGAAGATCCCGCAGACCAATGGCAGAAACGTCTATGCCATCGATCAGGATCTGAGACCCCGGCATGTACTCCAGGTGCCTAAAGAGGGCAAGCGCAAGCGTAGATTTGCCGCTTCCGGTCCTGCCCACCACCCCGATCTTCTCGCCAGGCTGCACAGTGAAAGTCACCTTGTGCAGCACGGGATCCAGCTCTGGCGCGTACTGCAGGGACAGATTGCGCACTTCGATGGCACCCTGCGAGGGCCACGAAGCGGGCGGTCTGTTGCTCTCGATCACTGCTGATGCCTCCATTGGAGTCAATGTGATGAGATCTTGCAGCCGCTCGAGCGAGTTGGCATCCTGCTCGAGAGAAGTGATGTACCTCGAAAGCCAATAAATGGCCATTGTGGTGGAGGATGCCATGCTCAGAGCCACACCAGCCAGGCCAGCCGGAATGCCTCCTGCCAGCGCGGTGATGGACGCGCCCATAATACCAAGAGCACCAAGGACATCCAGACGTAACAGAGAATGTCTGTTGCACATCCAAAAGTAGTGAAACGCGCTCTGCGTATGATCCAGTCGCTGAAGGAATTTGCCAAGCAATCGTCGCTCGGCGCAAAATGCGCGGACAGTGTCCAGGCCCGACAGCAGCTCGCTGAAGCTCGAGATGAGTGGAGATCGACTAGTGGACTCGATCCGCCTAAGGGAACGAGCGGTACGAACATATCCAATCGCCACCTTATAGTTCGCATAGGCCAATAGCGCGCTCGGGATCAGCATGAAAGGCAAAGTGAGAGTGATGACACCCAGAGAGGTCACAAGACCAATTATGTATCCCGCCATGGCTTGCATCGTGTCGTGCACGCTTTCATCCACCTGTCCGACGTCTTTGCTGAGAGTGTTGAGCACTCTTCCCTTGGGCGTCATGTCGATGTGCCTCGACGTCGCGCGCATTAACGTCTCCAGAGCCTGAATGAAGAGTGCTCGTGCAGCATTTCGTCCACCGGATTGGTTGATCAGTATCAATAAGCATAGGCATGCTGAGCCTGCAACCTGGATAGCGATGAAGCCTCCAAGGTATGGCCAGACATTTTCGTTGGCAGGCGGTAGCGCCGATGCACCTACTTGACCCAGGTGCAGCTCCGCCGCTGAGAAGGTTAGAGCATGCAACCCTGTAATGCCTTCTCCAACGGAACTGAATAGGAAGGAGATTGCTTGTTGCGGGGCCGCTGCGACTGCGAACGCAGCGCTCGTTGCCTTGGTGCTGTATGAGCTGCCCCAAAAGCTGAGGTAAAACTTTTCCCCCGTATCAAACGTCTGCCGAGATACTAGAGCAAGAAGAGCCAGCGCTACAGTGATCGATCCATAAGCTGCAAGATAGGTGACATACACCTGCACTTTCATCGCCCCTTTCGCTCTCCGTTCCTTCTCCACGAGCTTGCCTCGCTCGCGCTTGCTACGCACTTCGACAGCCAGGGCTGCGGCGTTGCCTAGGCTGCCTCCACCGTTGAGGGCAGGCACAGAAGGTGCGGCGGCGGGCAGGCCCTCTGCCTCCACCTGCTGGGCTCCAGCGATCGGTGCTTGCAAATCCTGCTCGATGCTTTCAGCAGCTTCTTCCGCCTTGATAGCAGCTAGATGACCCTGCTCCCGTAGTTCCTCTGGCGTTCCCTGAGCCTCGATGCGGCCGTGGCTCATCTTAACCACGAGGGCGCAAGGTATCGACAACACGAGCTCCACTGTATTGTGTGGACAGAAGAGCGTGGTAAGTTCTCGAGATCTCAAGAAAGTCTGGCGCCCGACGCTCACCATGATGCGAGACAATTATGCAAGTGCGACCTTTGAGAAGCGGGCCATTGAGGCACGTCGTGACCACCTGCTTGGAAGTTTGCGCGTCGAGAGCGCTGAGGATGTCATCGAGGAGGACAGTGGCGGAACGCGAGTACATCGCTCTTGCCAGAGCTACTCGAGCTCGCTGACCGCCCGAAAGGACCAATCCACCTTCTCCAACTTCCGACTCGTCTCCAGCTGGTAGAAGCACCAAGTCGGGCTTCAACGCACAGCACTCCAGCACCGTCTCGTACCTCTCCGCCTCGAATGGGGCTCCGAAAAGAATATTCTCCCGCACAGTCGCATGTTGAAGCCATGGTCTCTGGGCTGCAAAAGCAACGCTGGATATCAAGCCATCCTGTAGCACTCTTCCAGCTTCTTTGGGCAAGAAGACATCGCCCTCGCGAATCTCCATCTCGCC